CTTAACTGCTCTAAACATTTGTGTGGCCATTACAGTTAATAAAGACCATATAGAAACAACCTGTGCGGTAAATGGAGCGTGGTTTCAGGGATTGTGAGACCTGTGATTGGATGCTGGTTTCACTGTTTGCTAACTGTGACCCTGAGCTCCAAATGGGGATAAGTATGCCTAATCCTTCAAACTGCTGCCTGAAAGTCACAGGAGATATCCCCGGTTCTGAGTAGTAAATGCGATCATGAGATGTGAGTAAGGTTACCATTTGGCACTTGTTAAAAACGTGCTTGCTTTTAATAAGAATTTTATTATGTTTTTAAATCACATGAAGGATACATGCAGGGCCAGTAAAAGACAGTGATTCCCATGGACGTGGGGTCGGTTCCTGTTCAGTCACCTGCTTCCCATTTTCATTGGTGCCCTGCAGGGGGGAGCCCAAGAGGCTGACATTTTGACTTTCTTAGGAAGCCAAATGTTCAGGGCTTGTTTGATGTTTGCAAACGAGCCACTGAGAGAACTGAGAACCCGATGGTGATCTTTAAAGCAACCCCAACCAGTAAAGGGCTCTGTAAAAAAAAAAAAAAAAAAAAAAAAAAACCTCAGGAAGACACAGGGTTTCTATTTTGAGAAATGAAATTTTGCAAAAACAACCAGAAAAGCATTGAAAGTCCCAGAAATGGGGAGAGTGTCTGCCTCAACGGAAGCCCGGAAGAAGATTGCGGAACGTCCCCTTCCCCTGCGTTCCAGAGGGTTCTGCGTGGTTACAGCGCTGCCTCTGGGCCAGCCTGGGAAGGAGAGAAGGGAGCGTGCAGCGGCTGTCACTCATTCACCCAGCTTTAGAGAGGGTCTGCTGTGTCCCAGGCACTGGCCCGGGTGCGCAGGAGATAAGTGAAATCGGACAGGCTCTCGGTCCACACAGGGCTCATGCACCGTCTTTCTCGCACTTTCTCTGTCTTTCTCCTCAGATCCTGTTTCTCCTTCCTTCCTGCCTTCTGCATCCTAGGTGACAGCCTTCCCTTCGCCCCAGGAGCCCGGCGCTCCATCTCTTACCATGATTTCAGACGTTCACCGAAGGGGAAATGACTGCACGTTCCACCTGCCATGCCTTTGCTCCGGGCCCCCTCCCACCTGCCTGTAGGAGTCCTTCCCGTGCATCCAGGGACAGCACAGATGCCACCTCCTCCACGCAGCCTTCCCTCATCACCCAAGCTAAAAACAACTGGCCCCTCCTCTCTGATCCAACAGCCCTTTCTTTGTACTTTTCTTTTTAGCACTGACCATATACTTGCCTTTGGCTATAGCTGCTGGGGCCAGGGTGGGTGTCTTCCCACCTAGGCTGGGGTCGGGGTGGGCGTGGGGCAGCCCTTTCTGCATCCATGGCCCATGTGCCGTTCTTCTCTACCCCTGCCACCTGTCTCACACTGCTGGACACATACCACGTGCTAAAAAATGTTTGGCTGGATTGTATTTTTTTCTCTCCCTCTCTAATTTTAGCTATCCAGAATTAGATTGATTAAACTCTTTAGTTGCTGTCACTCTGCCACCATGGGGCCATGCACAGTTCTTATGCTCTATTTATTTCATATATTTTAGTCCCCCTTGTTCTCCATACACACTCCCCCACCCACCCCATCTCTCTGCTGCCATAGACTCTTGTTGTGTTAGAGTGTGACCTAATCTATCTTCTATAATGTTATTTATGCATTTGTGTAAGCTCCAGTCATGCTTGGCATTGTTGGCACTGAGTTTGCCTTTTCGCTAAGGGCATGAAACACTTCCACTGGAATTTCAGGCACCAGCAGCCACCGAGGAAGTGTTTCCGACAGGTGACCCTTGGGATTGCAACAGGAAGCAGTGGGCAGCCTAGTCTGGCCAATGGCTGCTGCTGTTTGTCCAGCCCCCACCCCCACCTTTGAGTCTCAGGTCCCCCTCCCCCAGGTCTATACAGCTGCCGCTCTGCCAGCCAGGAGCCCCCGGGAGAATTCTCGCTCCCAAGAGATTGCCGACCTCCTTGACACATATACTATTTGGGAACACCCATTTCTGTCCCCCTGAATCTTTTGGCTTGCACTCCATGAGGTCACACACTCTTGGCAAAGTGCTCCCCTCTCACCCTTCACAGAAATGCCATCAGCCCAGCGGTTCTCAAACTCTTCAATCTCAGGACCCCCTGTACACGCTCGAAAGTTATTAAGGAACCCAAAGAGCTGTTGTTTATTTGTTTCATATCTACTTCTATTGGCCGTATCAGAAATTAAAACTAAAGAAGTTTTAAAATGTTGATTTAATGTCTTTTAAAAATGGTGCTAAAACTATTATATCTTAAACATACTTTATGAAAAATAACTGTTTTCCAAAACATGAAAAATGTAGTGAGAATAGCATTGTTTTACATTTTTGCAAACCTTAGTATTAATATTTTATCTCTCGCTTGATAAAAGAGAGCTAGATTCTCAGATATGCTTTTGCATTCAGTCTGTTGCCGTGTCATATGTCATGTAGACTTTGGAAAACGCTACTGTACACTTGAGAGAGACTAAGAGTGAAAAAGGCAATTAGCATCTTAATATTATCATGTAAATGGTTTTTTTTTTCATTGAAATACTATTTATTTTCTATTCTTTGAGTTATTAAATTTTTAACTTTTTACTTTTTAATTATTATGGGTACATAATAATTTTTTTTTCTTCTTTTTTTTTTTTTATTTCGGCATATTATGGGGGAAAAATGCTCACCATCCCTAATCATCAGGGAAATGCAAATCAAAACTACAATGAGATATCACTTAACTCCAGTGAGAATGGCCTTTATCAAAAAGTCTCCAAATAACAAATGCTGGCGTGGATGTGGAGAGATTTAATGTAAATGGTTTTGACCTCACCAATCCCCGGCAAAGATCTCTGGAACCCCCAGGGGATCCCTGGACCATACTTTGAGAACTAGCACCTTAGATGGTAGGTTTCTTGATGACAAGGCCATTCTCTGTTCATCCTTGCAGTCTGGGTTTTAAACAGACTATAGTTGAGACTCAGCACATCTTGTTTGAAATATTTGGAAATATCTGTGTCATTGTGGGTTTATCCCACCCAAAGCCATCGTCTGGGCAACTATTCCGCTTATTCTAGTGATACTGCTATTGTTGAAGGTATTTGGAGGACGCTGGTAGAGAAGTGGGCAGTTCTGTCGAATATCCTCAGTGGTCTCAAATCTTTGCTCTCTGAGGAGCATTTTTAGTTTTGGAAACAGCCAAAGGACATTCACAGTGAAATCTTGTAGTCTCATTGGGCGACACTGAATTTTGAATTTCTTAAAAGTAGTACTGACTTCTTAGAATTCGGATTGCAAATCTAATGGCCATCTAAGTGTACGCATGTGTTCACACATGTGCAAAATGATGTTTGTAGAAACTTAATAACGGCATCATCATTTCAAGAGTGAAAATGGAAGCAATCTAAAGGTCCACTACTGGGTGATCAGTTAAATAAACTGTGGACATCCATAGACTAGAACATTCTGCAGCTGAAGAAAAGAATGAGAAAGCTCTGCACATACTGATAATAAATTAACTCCAAGACATACTTTTTCAAAAGTAAAAGGTAAGACAATGTGTATAGTACATTATGATCTGTAGGCAAAAAACCTGCGTAGTGTGCGTGTATGTGTTTGCTCGTGCATGCAAAAGGTGGACGAGAAACTGGGCCTGCCGACTGCCTCCAGGAAGGGCGACGAGTTGGCTGAGGTCAAGGGTAGAAGAGCAGATTTTCAAGGACTATCCTTTCATCACTTTTGAATTCTAAACCATCTGAATGTTACATAATGAAGCAAAACTTTAAATGCCCCAAACCGATTATGATGCCCTCCCTCCTTACAAAATTAAAAATAAAAACAATTTCTGACACTTAGAAAGGCTATTCTCCAAAAAAAGAGTTCTGAGTGTTCTCTGAGCAGTAGCACGATTTTTAGGAGAAATGTACAATGTCCAAGGGGACAGGTAGAAGGACACAACGGAAAGGGGCAAGGAGAGGCACTTGTGAAAAGAACTCATCGTTTTCTTAGTCACTCTCGAGTCATTTCAAAAATAGGGAAACTGAGTCCAAGCAGGGGAAGTGACTCATCCATGCCCCCTGGGTTCTTGGTTCCAACGCTTGCCTTGTTAGAGAGGGGATTTCCTGGCTGCTCCTGCAGATCTCTTTGTGGGGGGTTGGCAGGGGTGGGGGAGCAGAGGTGACAATCTCCTTTCCTTTGGTCTTCAGCACACCTCTCTCCTGCGTCACGCCCTGACCAGGGGCTGGAGGCCAAGGTGGGCGAGTGCCTGGGACGGTGACTGTTGGGACCAAGGCTTCCCTACTCTTCCTCTCCTCTCTCCCGCTTGCCACACACACCCAGGCAGGGCTTCCTCCTCTGGGCTCCCCCGGGACACTGCCCTTGCCCTTCGATTTCTGAAACTGGCATCACCCAGCTCAACTATCACCTACTTTTATCGCACAGTTGGACTTGTGCAGAGCAACTTTGGGATACTTTAAACCAATTTCTTCTTCAAAGGATAAAGATTGTCCATCAACTAAGAGATTCGCTCTTCAAAATTCTGGTAGAGGTTGGGTGACCCTGGGCAGGCTGCTATGAAGGACTCTTTGGCATTCATTAATTCATTCATTAATTCATTCATTAATTCATTCACTCAACAAATATATTTTGAACCTATTCCCCGCAGGAGGTATTGTTCTACACATTGGGGATGCAGTGGTGACCAAAACAGAGGAGGTTTCTGTTCTGTGGAGCTCACATTCTTGTGATGAGAGACTGAGAATACTCAAGTAAATAAGTGAATGATTGGGGTAATTTCAGATACTGATAGATGAGACGGAAAGGCTGGGAGCTGCCTTTGGACTTGTGCTGCCTAAGTGCTGTCTGAACAGGCCTTCATCTGGACAGCGGTGCTATCTCCGTGCCCTCTGAGGCCACCCCCCACCCTCCGGTGGTGACTCTAACATCCTCCCGTCCGACAGGCTCCCATGGAGGAATGAAAGGCGTGGAGGAGAAGAGGGGCGCCAGCTCCCCGGGGTCCCCAGTCTGCCAGCTGCTGCTAAAGACCGCCGAGAAACTCTGCTTCTAGCTACGGGGACCACCTGTCCTTGGAACCTCAGTACCTGGAACAGGAAACCCTGGATGGATCTGGATGGACCCCTTGGCAAAATGAATGGGACCGACTGTAGGTTCCAGGACTTGGAAGCCAGCAACGCCTCCCTGGACAATCCTACTCCATTGCTCTGCTCAGGTGAGACCAATGCTAAACGGTGGTTACTTACTGTCAACTATTAGTCAGACCACTGAGCTCATAAACAATTCTGTGAGGCAGGTATTCGTATCACATCCATTTCTCAGATGAGCTCAGAAAGGTTACGTGGGTGTCCTAGGATCACGCAGTTAGGAAGGCACGAGACCCGGGTGACTGGACCTTAAATCTCAGGCTCTTTCATGACGTCATCCCTCGTGCTTGTTCCTCCCGCCCCCACGCCCCTCCTCTGCCTTCCCGGGGTGGGTGCTGGCCTGTCCGGCCCCGGCTGGACACTCGCATGCTGTCTTTCCACCTTGCTGTAAACAGGTGTGCCCTACCCCCGCCAGCCTCCCCCAGCTGGCGCCCCAAGTTCCCCTCTCATCGCTCAGGGCTATCTGTGTCATCTCACCCTCCACACGCGCCCACACACCATGCCCTGTGACTTGGAGCCTCACCTGGGGTGACTCACAGCCGGTGCCGCAGACACTGGGAAGACATGGTGTCCAAGCCCCTCCCTGCCCTTCGTCCAGCAGGTGGACAGAGCTGTCAAAGGAAAACTCCCTGAGGTCAGAGGGCGGAGAGGGAAAAAGGCAGAGAGGAAGGGAGCTGTTAAGAGGGCCAACCTGATTCCACCTGGCCTTGTTGCCCCGAGAGGCTTGCTTGCACCCCACATGCTAGTTGCCAGCAGTGAGGATTACATTGCCCTGGTCGCCCCATATGTTCCCTCCACAACCCCCCACAGCAGTCTCTGCGGTAGAGTATCTGAGTAGCCAGCTCCCAAGACGCGGGGCCAGAGAGGTGGCACCTGTCAGGAGGGCTGAATCACACAGCGCCACTTGACTGGGGAAGACTTAGGCAGGGGCCTGAGTGCGGGGGAAGAGAGCTTTGCGTTTGGAGTCAGAAACGCGGACTCAAGTCCTGACTCCAGCTCGTACCGCAGCCAGGTGCCTTCCGCTGCGCTCCTCACCTGTACGGCGGGAGGGTTTTAAGTCTCCTTCTCACTCCGAGAATCCGGGGACACACTGCTGCTGGAGAGGTGATGGGCTCCGTGTCTCCATCCCTGGAGGCAGGAGAAATTCTTTCTCACTGAGAATAATCCTCCCCTTCCTTACCAGAACACGGGCAGACACTCTCGTACCTGCCACCTCTTTGCGCTCGTAGCCCAGCCTGCTTGTGTCCTGACCTCTGTCACGACCCCTGACCCTGTCACAACCCCTGCCCCATACGTATCTCTGTCCCCAGTTGTCTTTATTCTGGACGTCCTGCCACATCTGCTTACTCTTGGCAAGAAGAGTAGAGCTCAGGAGTGAAACGATCACAAGGAGGCAGCAGACGTGGGTTCCAGAGAGACGTGGGTTCAAGTCCAGACTCTGCCTTTTACCAGCTCCATGACCTTGATGGAGTCTGATCCCTGCGAGCTGTTTTCTTTACTGTAGAATGGAAACAATGATTGTTCCTACTTCATGCCTACCTATGAAGATTGTGTGAGATAATGGGTGTGCCCGGCATGTATTAAGTCCCCAACAAATGGTAGCTGATGTTACCATTGAGGATCCTGTAGAGCCCGTTTGCACAGGTGTACAAGAATTACTTTCACATCTCCTTTGCTTTTCCTCTCCTTCCCTTTCTGCAGAGAACAGCACCGCCGTCCAGCCAGAGGCTGAAACAGCAGGGCTCAGCAGGTGGGTGAGAGAAGGGTTGGGCCGTGGAGGGGGCAGCCGGGGTCCACGGGAGGGGGTCCCTGGGGACTGTGCGGGCAGGGCCGAGGAGAAGGGCCCAGAATGGCCGGCCACTGGGGAGGTGGAAGCCCAGAGCTGGGAGGGATTCCCAAGGAATGGGGCGATATTATGGATGGTCACCAAAGCCGGCCAGGGCAGTGGGTGGTCCTCACTTCCCTCGGTTGCTTCCCTCAGCCTGAGCACAGCAGCCACGGTCCTCTCTGGCTCCATTGGTGTCGTGGCCCTCATCCTGCTCCTGCTGTGTCTTTTGTACATGACCCTGAAGAAATGGAGGCACGAGAGTGAGTGGAACATCCCCAGCCCTGGAACTGGGGGTGAAGGAAGAGGAGAAACTGAGGCAGAGATGGGGATGTCCTTCCCAAGGTGCAGCCTCGGGGGAGGAGGGGAGTGGGCGGGCTGTAGGTTTTCTTCTCTGGAGTTGCCAGGGACACCGTCCGTGACAATAAGATGTGTCCATCGCACAAGCTCTTCCTGTTGAGAGCCACATACAGTATGCGCCATCTGCATACGCACTTATGGTTTATACACATCAACAAAAAGAAATATTGACACCAAATCATCTCCTCTAAATAAAAACAAAATTATAAAGTGTACTCCTTTCCCCTACCCTGTCTTCCTGGGAATTTAACTTAGTCTCAGAGGCCCGTTGGGGTCGAACATGGTGGATTTCGCCTTTCAAAGCTGAGCCCTAAATCAACCACGCAGAGACGGCTACGACCCCGAGTCAGACTGACGCTGAGCTCGTTGATTTTTCTAGGACTATTCAAGAGACAGCTGAGGCATCAGAGCAACTTTCTCCACAGATCTTCGGTGAGGAAATAGTCGAGTCCCACCTAGCAGGGCTCCGGGCCTTCTCCACAGGGATTTCTTCTTGTCCCTAGACAGACCCCACACAGCGGGAGGTGGGGGCGAGGCAGGGAGCAGGCCTGGAAGACGGTGCTTGTGGAAACGGAGGGAGACCCGGGCTTGCTCAGCAAGAACCCCGTGTTCTCCCCGCCGGCCTGTAGGGACAGCCCAGGACCTGGTTTTGTCGTTGCAAGTCCCTGGCGCCCGGCCATCTGCCTCTAACCAGGGTTCTGTCTCTAGGACCTGTCCTGCCACACCGATGCCATCTACGCCAACGTGATCCGCCTGCCCCCCCGGGAGGGGGACGGATTCGCCGTTTATGCCAACGTGCCCCCTTTCCACCGCCCCAGGAGGACTTCCCCGGACCAGGTGGAGTACGCCTCCATCGTGTTCCAATGACGGGACCAGCCAGACGCTCGGAGCGGAGAGTCAGACCTGGGCCCTGGCTGGACCTTGCACAGCGCTCGCTTTAGACTTGTGTATACGTGTGTGTGTGTGTTTAAAAAATGCATAAAACCTGTCCTGATGGAGGTAAATGGCTGAATGTTCCTTCTCGTTACTGGAATGTGCGTGCAGTTCTAATTGACAGGAGTGACATACGGGAGACAAGGGGCATGCTCACCCAGACCACCCCCAGCCCCAGAGTCAGGTTCCTGAGACAGACTGGCCAAGAAAGGAGCTCTTTCTACCGTGTTTCCCCAAAAATAAGACAGCGTCTTATATTTATTTTTCCTTAAGAAGACACCCTGGGGCTTATTTTCAGGGGATGTGTTATTTTTTTTTAAAGTACGGTACAACCATCTACATTTATTCAAATAGAGTGAAGTCGTCTTCTTCTGGAACATCATCATCACTCTCCAAACCCTGAATTCCTGAATTTCTTGTGACTCTATTTCCTTTAGAACCATTGGCCCCAATCTCTCCTGTCGAGCAATAGAGCTCTCATGGGGCAGATGAGAAGGGCTGCTCGTCTTCTTTACTGCTCCGCGACGAAACGCATGGGTTGTGCAGGTGCGCTGCGCAGCCACGCCCATCACTAGGTCTTATTTTCGGGGTAGGGCTTGTATTGCGCAGATGCTTAGAAATCCTGCTTGGGCTTATTTGATGGTTAGGTAGGGGAAACACGGTAGCTCTTGTTCCTCTCCAGGCAGGGGCTGAGAAGTGGGAATTCACACCGTTCAGGGCCCAGCTTCTGTTTTTTGTCTCTCCTATCCTGCCCTGTCAGGAGTTAACACCCCATAGGAGTGAATTCATGGGTCACATGCATGGCTGGGGACACGTGCATGGCTGACTACCTTGCATGTCTGCCTCGTGCAATTGCCAGACAACACGCACGTACACAAAGGGCAATACAATGGCTTGAGTGCAGGCTGGATGTGCCAATGGTACCTAGATGTGCCAATGACCCCGTGATACCTCCCATGGGTCCAAGACGTGTGTGCATTATTCATTGTGTTGTTTTGCTTATTCTCTGCTCTGTGCTAAAAAGATATTGTTGAAAATGTTTTTTTTTTAAAAAAAGAAGCCTGCAGATAACCCCATGGCTAACAGCGATAAGAGAAAAGGAAGCATTTATGTTCTTTATAGCACAGACAGTGAAACTGTTAGAGGAACTGGGCAGCGGTGCAAGCGTGGAACATCTCAGCGAAGAGTGTGGTGTTGGAACGACCACCACGCATGACCCGGAGAAACAGAAGGATCCGCTGTTCAAGTTCTCTGCTGAAAGTGACGAGTAGCAGATAAGGAAAAACAGAAGAACACCACGTAAAGCCAGAACTGAAGATTCGGCCACGCACTGAAGACTGAACACACGCCGCTTCACGGTGTGATCAGGGAGCAAGCACACATCTATCACGGTGACCTCGAAAATGGAAGGAAACTGCAAATATTCAAAAGGCTGGTTGCAGAAATTTTTAAAAGACACAGCATGACATCTGTGAAGATGTGTGGTGATAAAGCATATGCTGATCGGGAAACAGTGGAGAAACTCATTGATGAGTTTGCCAAGGTTGTCCCTGATGAGCATCTGACACCAGAACAAGTCTATGATGCTGCTGAAACATCACTGCTTGGGCATCACTGCCCCTGACTACAGCCCTCTAGGGATCAAGGATGCCAAGGACATAATCTTAATAACTGTGCTGGGGCGTGCCATTGCAGCAAGCACGCATCAGTGTAAACCTCCAGCGACAGGCCAAAGCCAATGTGCTCACTGTTTTCAAAGAATCAATTTCTTACCAGTCCATTATTATGCTCACAAGAAGGCTTGGATCACCAGGGACATCTTTGCTGACTGATTTCACAAACATTTCGTGCCAGAGACTCACGCTCACAGCAGGGAAGCCGGACTAGAGGCTGACCTCCCATCACACCTGTTCTGCTCATCCTCCAGCCGAAATTCACATCCAAGAGAAAGTTTGTGCCGTGTACCTCCTGCCAAATGTGACTCCATTCATCAGCCACGTGACCAGGGTTCCCTCAGATCAATGAAGAGGAAATATAAAATCGTTTTCCTGAATAGCACGCCAGCAGCAGTGAATGAACAGAGGCGTAGGTATGGAAGGTTTTCGAAAGAAATTTGGCATGAAGGACGCCGTACGTGCAGTTGCCAACACTTGGGACTCGGTGACTAGGGACTCAGGTGTGCATGCCTGATGCACCTGCTGCCCCCTGACTGCATTCAGTGACGATGAGGAACGAGGTGGTGACTTTGAAGGGTTCCCTATGTCAAAAGAGAAAAAAGGATGTCTGATCTCCTTACACATGCAAAATACTTACCTTCAGAGTCCGTCAGTGAGCTGGAAGACGTGTATGTTGAAGACGTTTTCAACGCTGCGAATGAGACGCCAGCTGTTGATGAGGCTGTTGGTCTCACAGCTGGTCCAGGTGTCCCGGTGGAGCCGCGGCGTTGCTTAGCTGCCCTGAACACGTTAGTTTTTCACCGTGTAAATGGCATGTCAGGCCTTTTACTGTTAAGTACTTAGATGTTAATAATAGTGAGAAAATGATTGCTTATCAATAGCACCTGAATTTAGGGTCAAGAATGATTGGGATGCCAAACAGCCACAGATCGTCCGCATGGGTGGCTGGGACAAGTGACACCTTTGCTTTCCAAGAGTGCAATGTACACGAGCTTTATTTTGTGCACAGAATTATTAAAAATATCGTATAAAATTATCTTCAGGCTATGTGTGTAAGATATATATGAAATATAAGTGAATTTCATGTTTAGACTTAGGTCCCATCCCCAAGATATGTCATTATGTATAGGCAAATATTCCAGAAGGGGAAAAAAATCCAAAATCCAAAACACTTCTGGTCACGAACGTTTTTGGGTAACGGATACTCAACCTGTATTTAAAGATGATAAAGCCCGGCATTTGTAGAGTGTTTTATAACTAACAAAGTACTTCATACGGGCTCATGGAATCTTGAACAATACTATGAGGTAGGCATTTTAATACATCTGTCACTAGGGTTAAGCTTCAGGGTATAGAGTGAGATCTTTAATCAATAAAAAGTGTAATCTGCAAGAAAGGGAAAGGGTGGTAGAGGTGGCTGGGGGGCAAGAAGCCTCTGTCTACAGACCGTTGCCCTAAAGCAGGGGTCCTCAAACTTTTTAAACAGGGGGCCAGTTCACTGTCCCTAAGACCGTTGGCACTGTGGGCCCAGGACGAGTCGGCTGCTAAGCAGGACAGGCGGCAGAGGCAAAAACACCCGGAGGGCGGGATAAATGTGCCAGGCGGCCCGCATGTGGCCCGTGGGCGGTAGTTTGAGGACGCCTGCCCTAAAGGCACAGTGCCCGGGGCTGCATATGTGTCCTCTATCTAGACCTGCTGCCTGCTGGGTGCACCCTGAAACGTGGCAGGTTGAGTGTGCAAAATGTCAATTAGCTAGAAGATACAGAAGGTAGAGAAAGACTGCATAAAGCAAGTAGCTTTTGAAATAATAATGACAATACTAATAAATGATCTGAATTGGAATTCCAATTCTGCTACGTACCACCACTCGGTGATTTGGGGCAAGTTAACCTTTCCAGTCTTGAGATTCTTCATTTTAAAACAGTATCCACAATGTAATCAATCCAAACCATTCCTCGTAAGGTTGTCCTGAGCATTAACTGGGTTGGCGCGTGGTGGCTGGTGCAGTGGTATAGACTGGCATACAACTGAGAGAGTGGCTGGTGCTCAAAACACAGTTAAGTCATTTTATCACTAGTAATATACATATTTGAAAAAATAAATTAAAACACCTATGGAGATACTACAGAATTACTGCAAAATGACAATTCATTGCTTCCCAGGTTGTAATGAAATAGAGACACTCAAACACTGCTAGTGGAGTTGTAAGATGAACTTTCTGAGAGCAAAAGGTCAATATAATGCAAGAGCAATAGACACCTTTCCTCTGACTTCAATATCTGCTCTTGGAACTTCACCCTAGGGAAATAATAAAAAATAACCCAAAAGGCTGGGCACAGTGGCTCACTCCTGGAATCCTAGAGCTTTGAGAGGCCAAGATAGGAGGCTCACTTGAGGCCAGTTCAAGACCAGCCTGGGCAACACACAGAGACCTTATCTTTACAAAAACTAAAATAAAAATTAGACAACCTTTGTGGTGCACGCCTGCAGTCCCAGCTACTCGGGAGGCTGAGGCAGGAGGATCACTTGAGCCCACCGTTTGGAGGCTGCAGTGAGCTGTGATCACGCCACTGCACTTCGGCCTGGGTAACAGAGTGACACCCTATCTCAAAAATAAAACAAAATAATAAAATGAGCCCTCTAAAATTTAACATATACAGAGGTATCCATCCCAGCATTATCTCCAATAGTAGAACGTTGGAAACAACTGAATGATGAGGACCCACAGGAATGGCTTGGAATTCAGGGTTTTATCAGCAAGGTGAGATATTCAGCAGCCATTACAAATACTATGAGAGATGTCTGGGTTTGGAGGGACCCTCGTTTATGAACTCCCTGCAGTGGGAGGAGGCCTGGGAGAGTGTCAAAAGAGCAAAGCAAGCATAGTAGCAGGGACACTGCTGAAAGGGTGGCAGTTCCAGAGTACGGAAGCCTGATAGACCCTTTTGGGATCTTGGATTTCATCCTAAATGCCATGGGAAGCCACTGGAGAATTCTAAGCAGAGAGTGACATAACCAGAATTGTGTGTATTAAAAGCTCCTTAGTTATAAGGTGGAAAACAATTTTAAAAGCTAATTTTGCCGGGCGCTGTGGCTCACGCCTGTAATCCTAGCACTCTGGGAGGCCAAGGTGGTGGATCGCTCAAGGTCAGGAGTTCGAGACCAGCCTGAGCGAGACCCCGTCTCTACTCAAAATAGAAAGAAATTAGCAGGACAACTAAAAATACATAAAAAAAAAATTATCCAGGCATGGTGGGGCATCCCTGTAGTCCCAGCTACCCGGGAGGCTGAGGCAGGAGGATCGCTTGAGTCCAGGAGTTTGAGGTTGCCGTGCGCTAGGCTGACGCCACGGCACTCACTCTAGCCTGGGCAACAGAAGTGAGATTCCGTCCCAACAAACAAACAAACAAACAAACAAACAGACACCACTAGTTTTTTAAAAATGCAAGTATACAGACAAGGCCATTATGCAAAAATATATTAGAGTGATTGGATCATGAGTAGGACTTTTTCCCCTCTTGGAAAATCCCTGATCCTGTTGGCACTCCATTCCCCGCTTCGGAATGGAGAGAGAAAATCGATTCTCCCGCAGAGAGTGGTAGCTCTGTTCTGTGAGACAAATCGTGTCTCAACAATGTGGGAGACATGACGCACAGCAGGGGTGGCGGGCTTGGAAGGGAGGGAGGCTGTTATCTTAGGAAACGGTGAGGGGCTGGGGTGGGAGGCAAACTCGTGTTATCAGCCTCCATCAGAGTCTTTTTCTCCACCAGGTGATAAACTATCAAAAATAGCTTCCTCTTAATGGTATAGGCGTTATAGCTTCATCTATCACTGTTCTGATCTCCCCTGGCTTGTTACCCTTGGGGCTGGAGCCTTGTCAGCCGAAAGCAGAGAGAAGGGGGCCGGTATCATGCCGGGCTTGGCGTGGAGCCTGGACCCAGGCCTCGGAGAGGAGCAGGAGCCTGAGGTCATTCCCAGCGGCCTCCGGCCTCCGGGCAGGAGCAGGCGCAAAAAGCCTTTGAGAGCAAATCGTCTTTTCCTCTTTCACAAGTGTTTGCGTGTAGTGACAGGAGCAGGTAAGATGGCAGGCAGTCACCATGCATGGGTAACAGCGCGCTTTAATCCAGCCCTTTATCCACGCCAAAAACATGTATTGAGCACCTTCTAGGTGCAGGCAGAGTTTTGGCAAGAGGGGACACAGAGAGTGAGGCACAGACCTCCACAGCTCTTACTTTGCTGTTTAGGGCGCAGTCGCAAATGACACCTAAGACACAAAATCAAGGCATTTTAGAGCAGAAAGGATGCTGGAAATAATCCACTCGAAACTCTTTATAATCATCTGTGAGAAAAAATGCCGTCCAGAAAGGATAAATGCCTCAGATCTCCAGGACTTTGAAGTTTAGGTCAAGTGGATTTTCCACTAAACCCCAACAAATCTTACAAAGACGGAAGCGTATTGCTGCAGCACTGTCCTAGCGAGAGTGTGCACAAAAGTGTAGCTATTAAATAAAGGTGCCACCTTCCCTGGCATGGGATTTAAAAACACCCCATCCTAGTCCCCAATCAAATGAGGATCTCTAAAAATGGCACATGGAGGACCCAAAATATGTTGTATTCAAAGATCCTCAACAACTACACGGTATTGGGAGCCTCGGAGCAGCATCATGGAAGGTTCTGGCCCAAGAGTGGCCAGTCTCCACACAGAAGACTGGAGCAGCGTGACTATTATGGGATGTTGCGTGATGTTGGCGGCTGCCCTGTCTACACCAGGTTCATGCAAACAGGTAATAGAAATAGCAAGTCAAGGATCTTGGCTTGATTGCCACAGCTTAACTGTAGCCAGAGCGAGTGACTTAGAGCCCGTGGCCGAGCTGGGAGCAGGGAGAGGCGTGTATGGATACTGGCAGGGCAAACCTGGAGCAGGTGTGGAGAGCCCAGGTAGGAAATCACTCCATGCAGCCGCTACCACTGTTGCTTGTGCTGTCCTAAAATCTCGAGTGATGAAGGAGCTTCACGTTCTTAACATAAGCTATGCAAAGGAAGGAAACTGCAGCTACAGACGTAATTCCACAGGTTACATCAACGGGTGTTACATCAACGGCTCGTAAAGCACTGAAAGAGACTCAGCCTGAGGGGGGCTTTCTGATTCTCATTTGAAAAATAGAGGCCAGGCGCGGTGGCTCACGCCTGTAATCCTAGCACTCAGAGAGGCCCAGGCAGGAGGATCGCTCAAGGTCAGGAGTTCAAACACCAGCCGGAGCAAGAGCGAGCCCCGTCTCTACTAAAAATAAGAAAGAATTAATTGGTCACTAAAATATATAGAAAAGCCGGGCGCTGTGGCTCACGCCTGTAATCTAGCTCTTGGGAGGCCGAGGCGGGCGGATTGCTCAAGGTCAGGAGTTCAAAACCAGCCTGAGCAAGAGCGAGACCCCGCTATAAACAAAAAGAAATTAATTGGCCAACTGATATATATATATATAAAATTAGCCGGCATAGTGGCACATGCCTGTAGTCCCAGCTACTCAGGAGGCTGAGGGCAGAAGGATCACTCGACGCCCAGGATGTTTGAGGTTGCTGTGAGCTAGGCTGACGCGCACGGCACTCACTCTAGCCTGCGACACAAAGTGAGACTCTGTCTCAAAAAAAAAAAAAAAATATAGAAAAAATGAGCCGGGTATGGTGGTGCATGCCTGTTAGTCCCAGCTACTCGGGAGGCTGAGGCAGGAGGATCGCTTGAGCCCGGGAATTTGAGGTTGCTGTGAGCTAGGCTGACGCCACCGCACTCTTGCTGGGGCAACAGAGTGAGATTCTGTCTCAAAAAAAAAAAAAAAAAAAAGAATAGAAATGTTAATAGCTGTCCTTTGTTGTTTACCACAGAAAGGACACTCTGTTAACATGCTTTGCCTTCTTATTTATATTTTAACCTTGAACAACCTTATGAGATCTTTTTAAAAATTAGATATTTATTATTAACCCTGTTTTACAGCTGGAAAAACTGAGGATCAGAGAGGTTAAGTAACTTTCTCCCAAGTCACGCAGCTACCAAGTGGGGGAGCCTGGATTGAAATAATGGCTTCAGGCAATTTGTCCCAAACAGGGGTGTGACATCATAGAGGCCCATACATCTCTGCTTTCTCTGTCTGTTTTATATCTGGGTCATTTTATCCTCCTACCGTTCTTCTTCACTCCCAAGTTTAGATCTTGGGGTTTTCGCTCGAGATCTCCGAAGAGCCTGAAATTGGCCTTCCTTCCCTTTGTGTCATTATCTGTCACATGCACTGTGATAGCGGCCACTTCGGGCTGTCCTCAACCGGTGCTTAACGGCAAAGAAGTTATCCTCAAAAAATTACTCTCATCCACTGCCCTGTGTCCTATACGTACGCACACTCTTAATCTAGAGCCACGTGGCATTCAGATTCAGAGACGAGCCAGGTCGGACGGGCTCTTTGCTAACACATCTGGAGACCGACTTCATTTTACAGAGGGGGAACGTGAGTCCCTGGGTGGGGGAGTGAGTTGTCCGAGCTCATGCAGTGCGTTGGTGCCAGTGCTGGGACTTGAACCCAGGCTTCACGACTCCTCCTCCAGTGCTCTTTCTGCTCTAACCCCCGGCTGTCTGCTCTGTAGTATTTAAATGTGTGCTCACATATGGAGAGAAAGAGACTACTGATCTCCTCCATCTACACAAACTGTCTGCGCTGGGGAGCGGGGCAGAGCATGGTCAAAAAAGACGGAAAGTGTTATCTGTGGCTTCACCCTGTTCTGCTCAGCTGAGCTAGATTGCTATCTTCCGAGCAGCAGTGCCACCGTCTTGTTGGAAATGATGAAACATTTGCGATTGACCTCCAGTGACAGAGGTTTGGGGTGGGGCTGGGGACGGGCGGGGGAGACGTTTCCATGAGGCCATCGCTGAAACCCAGGCCAGGATCAGACCTTGCTCATGGTCCTGGGGGTAAGTACTGTCGGGGCAGGTAGGATTTTGGATTAGTTTGAAGGGTGTGCATTTGTTTGTGAATGTGTATGTGTTGAAGTTTTAGAGAGGATTCTCCGTTTATGTGCTGGGATTCCAGGGTGTGGAATTCAATTTGCAATCAGCTTGGAGCGAGCCTAAGATTCAGCAGTTCGCACTCTATGGGCATTAATCTCTATTCCTGAGACCTGGGATCTGTCTGCCTTCGCAGCAGCAGCCGTTAGGGCTCTGGCTAGAAAGTGCATAGACTTTGGATCCAGAAAAAACTGGTTTCAAATCCTCACTTTACTAAACTTTTGTAAGCCTCGGTTTCCTCATCTGTAAAATGGGTATAAAAACACCTGTTGTACGGGGTTGCTACAAGGATTCAGACAATATACATTTAGTGCCAGTACAGTGCTCTATCAACAGTAGCTATTGCTGGTGCCTGTAGTCCCAGCTACTTGGGAGGCTGAGGCGGGAGGATCACTTGAGCCCAGGAGTTCTGGGCTGTAGTGTGCGGTGCCAATCAAATGTCCGCACTAAGTTCAGCATCAGTATGGTGACATCCCAGGAGTGGAGACCACCATTGCCTAAGGAGGTGTGAACCAAGCCAGGTCAGAAATGATGGAGCAGGTCCAAACTCCCATGCTGGTCCGCGCTGGGATCGTGCCTGTGAATAGCCACCACGCTCCAGCCTGGGCAACATAGTAAGACCCTTCTTAAAAAAAATGTAGCCATTAATTTTTTTGGTAAGTCAAATGGGAGCCAGATCTCAGAGATATCTCCGCATAGCAGTGTTTTCCTTGGGATTTGCCTGAGCTGCAAGGTTCTAGTAGGTGTGGAGGGAAAGGATCAGCCTAGAAGTTTTAAAACGTTATGAGTAGAAGCCAGAAAATGCATGCTGTCAAAGGAAAAGCCACGCAAACATCTGGGCAAGGAAAGGCCGACAAGAACAACAGAACAGCAAGAGCCAACCCCTACAGAGAGCCCACTGTATGCCGGGAACGTTCTAAGAGCTTTCCGTGGTTTGCTTCATTTAATCTTCACGACACTGCAGATATAGGTGCTATAAGTAGCTCTGCTTTCCAGTTGAGGAAACTGAGGCACCGGGGTGTTGAATGACTTGACTGAATCAGTGAAAGAAAACTGGAGAACTTCAGCGCAGAAAAGCACCCCCAGACCAGGCCTTTCTCCAGCGTGTCGCCAGCCCGAGAAGGGGCTGGGAGCCGGATCAGGCACTCAAGGGAGACTTGCAGATTGGCTGCCCCTGCTTTTTGTTCTGTGTGTTGACCTTACCCTGTGAGCGTTGGCCATTCTACCCCATTGGCAATTCTACCACAATGCCTGAATTAGGATCGACTACATCATTGGTGGAACCTAGTGTGCAAAATGAAAATCTGGCGTCTCTTGTTCAAAAATTATTAAGTAGTGAAAGACGGCAATGGCAAAGCATTAAGCCAAGTTGTGGGGCCCTTGTGAGCCCGGGACCCTGCTAGATTGCACAGGCTGCAAGCCCAGGGAGCCCGCCCTGGCCCTGAGTCCCGATAAGGAGGCAGGAACGGTGCTAGAAGGTTCTCGTGCAACCCTCATGATAATTCTGTGAGGGAGATAATTGACTTACCAATGCAAAGAGGTGGAAACTGAGACTCAGGGATGTTAAGTGGCTCCCCCAAGTTTAAATAGTGTTTATTATTAATACATGTGAATTGATTTCATTGCTATGTGTACAGAGTATTACAAAATGCTTTCCCCATCCCCCACCCCCAGTGTCTCTAAGTACCGTGCTATGACTTGTGGACTGTAAAATATGGACTAGACATGGTCCCAGCCACCAAAGGCAGCATAATCTGCAGACGGTGCTTAGTATCTCTGAAATTCAACAGGCCAATTGAGGAAATGGAGAATAATCTGGTCCTTTACAATCCACCTGGAGCTTTGTGGGAACTAGCAAAAAGAATCTATGGACACTGTTAAAGTTGCTTGTAATTCTTTGTGTTTTTGCTGATTTAGCCTTGGAACTAAGTTGCACTCATGTTGCATCCATCTCAAGGAATTTCTTGCAAAAAATGCTTTCCCCCAAATTACCAAGTTGCATTTCATCTCTAGTACTTTCTTGCAAAAATGCTTCCCCTAAAATTACTAATCAGAAACTGGATGACTTGCTTTCCTCCTGAAAATATTGGCAGTCCCTGCAACTAGAAATAAGTGTGGCAAGAGATGCAGCTTGTCTGGTTGAGACCCCAAGTTGCTTTCTGGTTAATTTGAATCTAATCCTTTATGCCCATGTTAGAATCACGGCATTCTAGAACAACAAAATGTCAAGACTAAATCGATTTAGCCCACCGCCCTCATTTTATAGACAGGGAAACCGAGGCTCAGGCAGAGGAAGTGATGTGCCCAAGGTGACTGAATTTATAAAGTCGCTGAGCTGGAGTGTTCGTCTAGATTCTCATCCCACATTCCAGAGGGGTCCTGACCACCCCGACACGGTGACGGGAGCCACAGAGAATCCAGAAGAGAGTTCTCTCATACCCAGGACAAAGGTGATGCCCTAAAGCTTTCTCATCCCCTTCCCCGTGGTATTTGGCAGACTCTGTTCCTCCCTTCCTGTATTTTGTCCTTCTCTGTCCCCTGGTGACAGTCACCGGAGCAGGGAGACAGTCACCGGAGCAGGGACTGTTTAGGACAAGGGGCTTCCCAGGACCCCATGGTTTGTACGTCGGGTTGCTTATACCTCCCACCTGAAAATTATGAGTGAGCCCAGTGCTCCCACAGGGCCCCGTGTGTGTTTGTATAGGTAAGCCAGCTTGGGTCGAATCTTCTTCGCTGTCCTAAGGATCATACCGTGTTGAGCGGTATGGATATATATTCCAGGCATTCCACTGAGCATTTTCTGTTTTGTTTTTGTTTTTTTTGAGACAGGGTCTCACTCCGTTACCCAGGCTAGAGTGCCGTGGCGTCAGCCTAGCTCACAGCAACCTCAAACTCCTGGGCTCAAGCAATCCTCCTGCCTCAGCCTCCCAAGTAGCTGGGCCCGGCTAATTTTTTCTATATATTTTTAGTTGGCCAATTAATTTTTTTCTATTTTGAGTAGAGACGGGGGTCTTGCTCTTGCTCAGGCTGGTCTCGAACTCCTGACCTCGAGCAATCCTTCCTCCTCGGCCTCCCAGAGTGCTAGGATTACAGGCGTGAGCCACCTCACCCGGCCTCCACTGAGCATTTTCAATCCTGTACGCGGCTTGGCTAAGGCTCTGGCTCCAAAACACCTGGGTTTAAATTCTGTCTCCTCCAGGGGGGATGAGGTCCTGGCTTTCTCACATGTAAAGTGAGGAGAACAATAGTACCTACCTCATATGGTTGTCATTCTGGGGACTAAACAAGATAGCATATTTAAAATGTTTTTATGGTGCTGGCACGTACATAGTAAACACACAACACGTGTGAGCTAAAAACACGAAACAGGTGCCACCTGCATTTTACAGATCTGTCACCGAGGCTAGAGGGGTAAAGAAACTCACAGCTGAGAAGCCCAGGGCTGAAATCGCAGCTCAGCCTGTCTGGCCACAAGTGCCCGCACCTGGCCTTTCTCTTGCACTCACTCGCCGGTGCGGTTGCTCTGCGGTGTACTCAGTGTTTTCCACATTATCTTATTTACGTGTGGTCAAATATGGATCGAACGTTGTCGGAAGCCAACCAATTCCACTAAAGCTGTCCCCTGCAGCTGGGTGGCATTCAACCCTCTTCCCATCCACCCACTGTCTGTTCTTCAAATAATGCCCTCTCGGTGACTCTCCTTCTATCACACGGGGATCTCTTTTTCCTCTGAAATATAATGTGTTATTGACACCACTTCTTCTGGAAATTCATCATTCTTCTTCTGTGGCATTTCTTCTGCTTTTTGACTTTTCATATGTGTGTATACACACACACACATATATATGTATATGAATTTTTTTTTTTTTTAATTTAAGACAGGATCTCACTGTGTTGCCCAGGCTGGAAATGCAGTGGTGCAATCACAGCTCACTGCAGCCTCAAACTCCTGGGCTCAAGCGATCCTCCTGCCTCAGCCTCCCCAGTTGCTGGGACTACAGGCATGAACCACTGTGCCCTGCCAACTTTTTATATATTATTTTCCAAGTACAAATGAGCTCTTGAAGGTGCAAATGGCTTTCTCTCCTTCATGCTGTCGGAGTAGTTCACACAGGGCCATGCACATAGACCACTCAGTCGATATTTGATTGACTGAAGTTCAGACATCTAGCCGATTATCTCCATGTTCTATCGACGTGATGCGCTATAATTTACGTAGATAAATTTGGTGGCGCGCTAACTTAAGACACTCAGGAAATCTGGGCTTGTTTCAGTGTTTTAAAACATTTTTTGACTGTAATTAATAACAATGTATCGTATTCTTAAAAATTGCTAAGAGTGTAGATTTTATGTGTTGGCACCACAAAACCTAATAAATATATGAAGTCATGCATATGTTAATTACTTGATTAATTACTGGATTTGGTGAACTGAATCAAATTGATTGGGTGGGTTATTGCTGAACTAATATGATAGAGAAAGAAGTTTAATGACCCAGAGTTTTCTCTCTTTGCAATTTTTCTTTCTTTTTATGTTCACTTTTTACAGGGTGATTGTGTTGTATGTAGCTAAATACAACTGCATTCTACCTTTTCACCGGACAGGTTTATTTCTCCAGACAAATTCTTCCTAAATGTGATTTTAAATGGCCATATAATATTCCATTTATCCCTTAGCCCTAATTTATTTAGTTTTCGGTTTTTTATTTAGAGTGTTTCCCATTTTTCACTTTTATAATCACTACTGTCTAGAGCTCTTTTGCAGTAATAGCTTCGGATTACTTGTAAATTGTCTGTTCCACACACTTTATCCATTTACCATTTGGCGATTCTGGTGTTTTTCTTAACAATTTATGTTAAAAAAAAAAAGATGTAAACTCTTCAAAATTGTGCTTTGCCATACTTGTC